TTACCGATATATGACCTGGGATGCAGCGTATCCCAGGCAACAGGTCTGGCACACAGTGTCCACCGTGTGCCAGGTTCCTGGAATGCAAATATAAGAAATAGGAAAGTTACCCTGAAATATTAAAGTATCAACATGTGCTGAGGTATACTCCCTCAGTTGCAAACTTACCAGTGGCTGCAGTCCTATGGCAGCTGCTTGTCCTGGGTGCTGAGGGGGCAGAGGGACCAACTTTTCCCTGGTATAAAAAAGTAGCTCCAGTGGAGAGTAAGTCCACTGGAGCTGTTAGTCTTGAATTTTGACTATCAACTTATTTGAGTAAAAGGGAAGAACAGCTCTGCAAAAAAGGTGAGAATTTGCCTAAGGGCTTAAACTCTGCTGGGTGCATCTACATGTGCTATTAGTGCAATGCAGTAAACTGTGTGGGAGCTAGCTGCTTCTGGGTGCAGCATTTATACATATACCTGGGACTGCAGCAGTCTGAGCCGGGACAGAGCAACCCTGGGATGGCAGGGGGCCCAGGGGTGGTGGCATCGGGCAGCATAGGGGCTGTGTGGGGCATGCAGGTGGTACAGTGCAGGGCTAGGCAGGAGGCAGCGCCCTCACTTTTGCACCGTCATGCCCCAGCCAGCCCTGGTCACCATCTACATGTGTGTTTTGGCAGAGTAAATTATTTCGCCATAGGATAGTACTATGTCTATGATAGTAATACTGTCTGTGACAGTACTATCCTATGGTGGAGTTAATTTACTGCTCCCTAATATTGGCATATGTATAGACAGTAACACATTACCGTGGAGCTAATTAGTCAACTCCACAGTAAAGCGCACATGTAGATGCACCCATTGTGTCTAATATAGGGTGTAAGATATCAGGTTATTTCCTTGACATTGACTGAAGCAGAAGTTTAGGAAGTTGGCTGCCATCCCATTCCAAAGCCAAGTGCACCAAGTGGTGGTAGCAAAGAAGCTTTTCTTCTCTTCTGCCATTGTGTCTGCAAAGTGCTGTTTGGCACAACTGTTCTGGGTGGTGAACAACCTGGTAAATCTTTCCAGTCCCCATCCATAAATTCAGTCATCCACAGTCCGCTGTGATGAGTTTGCCACTAGCCTCGCAGACAAAATTGTGGCTTGGGGGCCACCAGTTCAGCTGAAGAATCTGAGTTTGGGATTGCGGAAGCTCAGTCTTGTCTGGTTTATATGGATCAGTTTCTATTGCTTTTGGCTACTGATGCATAGGATGTTGTTGGTAGAGTGTGGGTGACCAGCTGTGAACTGCATCTGTGCCCATACTGGCTTGTAAAAGCCAGCCTTGAGAGGTTGAGGCCACTGCTGGTGGGGGTTGTTAGTGCCTCCCTTTGGGAGGGAAGGGTGCCAAAGATTTTTAATTCGACAGTTGTCAAGCCCCTGGTAACAAACTGCCTTTTGACACTGATCTCTGCCAGCTAGCTACTGCTTCATTTCCAACCTTTCTGAGGGAGATCATTGAATAGGAAATTGCCTGACAGCTTACAGGTGATATCTGTCTGCAATCAGATTCCTTGACCCCTATCTATCTAGCTTTCATCCTGGGTATAGTATGAAGATTGCATTTCTGACTTTACAATCTTCCCCCTAGTATAACTCGGAGATCAACAGAGGAAACTGTACTCTGTTAATCCAAGTAGATCTTTCAGCAATCTTTGATATAGTTGACCAAGAAGTGCTGATAACACATTTGTGTGATCTGGTGGGTGTTCACGGGGCTAGTCTTAATTGATTCCACTCTTTCCTAGCAGGGAGATCCTAGAGGGTGATGACAGAAAAGTGCCTGTCATCTCCTTGGGACCTTACCTGTGGGGTCGCCCAGGGCTCTGTCCTGTTGCCCTTCTTGTTCAATATGTATCTGAGGGCATGGGGCAAGACTGTACAACAGTTTGGAGTGCGGTGCCATCAGTATGCTGATGATGATGATCACAACCAGCTATCTTGCTCCCTTTCATCCAACCCAGGACCTGCAGTCTCAATCCTTACCAAGTTCCTGTCTGCAACTGGGGATTGGGTATAGATGAACCAGTTGAAGCTGAATCGAAACCAAACACAGGTTGAAATAGACAGGTGGTGGTTGGCAGACCTCATGACTTAGGGTGGAGAAAGACACATCATTTGTCAGGTTCTGCCTCCCCTTGCCACTCAGGTTTGCAGTCTCTTAGGGTACTCTTGGATCCTTTGCTGCACCTGGATTCTCAAGTTGTGGCAGTGGCTAGGAGCACCCATCACCAGCTCCATCTGGTGAGAAGGCTGTGACCTTTTCTTTCAGATTTCAGACTCATCCACACTTTCATAACCTAAAGTCTAAATGGTCTGGGCCTTACATGCTGAAGAAACTGCCTTCTCCCTTATGGTCCATTGAAATCCCTAAGGTCAGCCAAGAACAACCTCCTGCAAGTACCATCACTATGCCAAGTCCACCTGGCAACAATGCATGGGGGGGTCATTCTCCATTGTTGCTCCTCAGCAACTTCCCTCTTGAGGCCTATCAGAGCCCAATCACAAATATGATTCAGAAGCTCTGTAAGGCCTTTCTGTTTGGGCAGGCATTTAGCAAATAAAACTAGGTAGAGATATTGTTTAGGGGGATTCTGTTTTAGTTTGATATTCTAGTTGCCTTTTAATTTGTTTTGTTCTCTTGTTCATTTTAGTTTAGTGAAAACACATGAGAGGTCATTCTCAGCAGTTGCTACTCTGCTTTGAATCTCCTTCCCCTCAAGGCCCATCAGAGCCCAGATCTAGACATCTTCCAGAAACATTATAAGAACTTCTTATTTAGGCAGGCTTTTAGTCGGTGGGGTATGGAAAACTGGTTTTTCACTTACTATTTGGGGGGGTTGTAATGGACTTTGTTTCAATTGCAAGCCACCAGAGCCCTTTTTCGGGGAGGGAGGTGTAGGGGAGAGGGCAGGTATGAGAATATTACATTGAGCAGCTTTCTTACTCCTAAACTTTACCCTGCTCCCAGCATTACCCCTATAGTAAAGTCCTATAGAATTTAATACAACTTTTCCAGGAGTTTTGGAATTGGTTTATAGAACATCCCAGAAAGGTCTAAATCCTTGCTGTACAATTCCTTTGTTGTGTTCAAGAAAAACATCTTGCAAACATCATGCTCTGTTAAATGATTTTAGTTTGCAGTTGGATTTCTAAAGAGCCCTGTTAGTTTCATACATATGAAAATCTGTAATGCAACTTTTCCAGAAGTATGTCAGCCTAGCTGGCCCTGTTTTGCTGCCATATCTCACATGGAACAAAGGCAAGCTAAATGCTTCTGTGTATAGCAGGAACTGGTCTGTGTGTGTTCCAACTTCCATATCTTTCAGAGGGGTATGTGCTGTATAGAGAGACAGCTTTTTCAATCTGATTTTTCCCATAAGCACCCTGCCTTCCTTCAAGCCTCAGCCATAAAACTTACGTATTACTCCAGCATGTATGATGAAAGCAGAGGATCTGTTGCCACACAGCGATAGTTCCCTTCATCTTCAAAACATGAGGCAAACATAAGCTAACTAACTACACAATTGAATGTTTTCATGACCAAGTCTTTAATTGGAAAAGGAAAACTGTGATACAAGGACAGCAGGAGGAACTGAACTGGTATCAGTAGAGATTTGTCTGTACACTGATAAACCCCATGTCTACTAGGGATGTGCAAAACGGGCCATGTTCGATTTGGATTCAATCCAAATCAGGGACAGTGATTCAATTCGTTGATTTGGATCACTGTGCCGAATCCGAATCTGAAGATTTGATGCACTCCACATTTAAAGCTGTGTCTATGTCCAAATCGCTGAATCTTTCTGAATCGATTCTAGGGGTTCCGATTCAATTCAAAGAGATTAAAGTGTCCTTTGATTCAATTCAGATTTGGAGATTCAGCCACTGAGTTAGGCTGAGTCTTGGCCGAATCGAATCAAGGACCAAAACGTCACACAGCCCTAATGTCTACCACTAAATCTTAAGCTATGTGGGACCTATGACATTCCATTGATATGTTATAAACATGCCCTTAGAGCAGGGATGGGCAAAATGCAGCCTGCCAGACTCCTCTTTCCGATTCACGGGGCCCCTAAAAAATTTAGAAAATTAATATTTATCTGCTCCTGGCTGCCTGTCATGTGGCCCTCAATGGCTTGCCAAAACTCAGTAAGTAGCCCTCTGCCCAAAATATGTGCCTGCCCCTGCCTTAGAGGCCTTACCATACTTATTATTGTACTAAGTCTTGTGTAGACGTTTGCAGACAGTGGGTGAAAGTCTCAGCCTACAGCAGGGACGGGCAATTATTTCAGGTGGAGGGCTGCTTACTGAGGTTTGGCAAGCCATGAGAGCCACATGACAGGCAGCCAGAGGCAGATGAATATTAATTTTCTAAATTTTTTAGGGGCCCTGCGGGCCAGATAGTATGGCCTGGCGGGCCACATCCGGCCCCCAGGCCACATTTTGCCCGCCCCTGGCCTACAATAACTCCCTTCACTTCATTTTACTCTACTTATCATTTGACTTCCATAGAATCGGGCAACTCAGTGCGTTACCCCTCTCTGCGAGGTTCAATACTATCTCTGAAGGGAGAGGTCTCATGGTTGAGGCATTCAGATAGGACTTATATCAGAGAACAGTTTCTAGGTTTATCAGATGATTTCTGTGCCTCCATCTTTTCCCTGAAATATGGTACTAGCTCCCTTTCTCTTACCATTTGCTTTTCTTTTCCACTTAGATAGCAGGTTCTGTGAGGCAGGAACTGTTTCAGGCTATATGGCTGTACAGTGGTTAGCATGATGGGGTTGGAGTCTGGGTTGGGATTTCTGAGTGCTACTAAAATGCAAAGAATACATATAATTGAATTTGGCCTCAGGGCATTTCTTAAAACTTTTGGAGGGATACAGGCATTTAAGGCGTAGCTGTGATTGCTTCTCTTTGCTTTATATTATTTCAGAGATTATTAAATAACAGTGTTTTTCTTTCCTGCCATAGAAACAGAACGTATAATTCATCGACCTTTGATGAATCAGAAGAATTGCAAATGGCCCAAGATGCTGAGACATGCTTGCTGAAGTCAGGAGAACTGATGTAAGCAGAGTAACTTGTTACTACCTGTTTTAAAAAAATAAAGGTAAAATCAGATCTGGGACATTTGAGCACAAGGCTCATTGCCCTCAGTGTGACTTAACTGATCTGTATCTGACAGCTGAATTTGGCCTATGGAGAAATATAATAGTTAAATAATGAAGTAGTAGTCAGCTCGGTTGTCCGATTCTGATTTTGCAATGCTCAGGTGCACCTGGGAGGTAAAAAAAAGAGAGAATCAGCTTGCTATCCTGTCTGCCCAACTGATTTACCATTATTACTGCAGTCCTGGGGTAGGTGTCCAGGGTTCCAGTAGAGGAGGGTGGAGAGAGTGTTGCATTAGTGTGTTTTGTTTGGTGGGGGAAGGGGTTTATTTTCCATCTCATCTACTTACCTAAAATGATGCTGGCATAGCTGTTGCAGTCAATGTCTTTTATCCTTTTTAGTCTGCACATATCACAGTATGGGCTGAACTTTCAGTTGAGTCTCAGCCCAATTTTATGTGTGTGTGCACAACCCACCCCCCTCCGCCCCCCACACACAAACACACACCCTCAGCAACATACTGACTACTCAAGTTTTTGCATGCAGTTATGCTACTTTGATGCCCTGCTGATAATAGGGTTTGTATGCACAAAACTCAGGATCTTGGAACTTACCTGTGGCAGTCTATATAGAAAAGTTGGCTAAACTATGAGTTGAATGACAGTCAAATGATTTGGTCTGTGCAGGGCCCTTGTTGCTACCAGGCAACAGAGGTTGACTGCTGCTTAAAATTAACGAGTGGTTGGGAAAGTTAGGTAGTTGTTTCATCTAGAGCAAGGGGTGCTCTACTCTTGGCCCGTGGAGCCATGGCATCCAGTCCCCTGGACTCCTCATGGGTCGGAAAATTTGGTGGCAAGGGAGTAGTGACCAATAACACTGCCAACCGTCCCCTGCATCCAAATTTCCAATCCCTGTGCCGCAACAGCCGGGGCCATTGCCACATGGCCGCATCAAGCCTAGGCTGATGCAGCCGGATCAGACCCAGGTTGGGTTGTTGCCATGTGGCTGGATCAGGCTAGGCCTGGGCCATTGTCACACAACTGGATCAAACCCCGGCCATGCCTGCCTTGCTTGCTGGATTGGGCCTTGCCTGCCCCATATGCTGCATTTGGCCCACCTTCTGGATGCAGCCGACAGACGAACCTGGCACTGCCCATCCAGCCCACAGGGCAAAAAGCTTGGGCACTACTAATCTAGAGTGTAAGTACTAACATTACCAGTAAAGTTGAACTAAGGCTAAAAATGCAGTGTTCAGCTTACCCTGGTTACACTTGTTAAAATTCAGCAATTGGCACTAGATACCACACAGTCGTGACTGAGAAACCACAGGCTTCCCCATATTCAGAATAGGAAATAACACCATTGTAATTTGTGGTATGAGTCTGCAACTGTTTTCTGTAGTTGGCAGCCAGTGACCTATTGCTAGGCTTGGCAGAATTCAATTTTTATTTTTTTTTATAATTTTGACAGCTAAAATCATTGTTTATTTCTAAGCATTTCTTTTGATTTTTAGCTATTTACATTTTCAGGATTGAGCAAAATCGGATGTGGGTGCAGACAAGTTAGTAACGACAGTACACTGTTAAAAGCTTTATAAAATCACGTCAAAATATAAAAAGTCAATATCCATAAATCAATAAATCATGCCTGCTTTAAATCATTCTGTTCATTCATCATCCGGGAAGAGCCAGGTGGGCAGGAATCAGAAGAGGAGGACGAACACGGGGAGATGTGGCAGCCACCCTTGCATCATGTGTTTAACGGGACCAGGCAGCATTTCCCTCTCCTCCCCTTGGGTAGGGGTTTGTTTAAGCAGCCTGTTTCCTCCCTCCAGGCCACTTCTGCACCTGTGAACGAGCAGCTAATTGTTTAATTGATGAGTCATTAGGCTGCCATTATTTTCCTTTTTAACCCCTCCACCCTCTGTCCTCCATCCTTCACTGTTCAGTAACAAGGGTAAGGGTTCCCTGTTACAGTCCCCTTTCTATACATTTCTATTATTACCAGTGGACATATTTTTTCATCAATCTGTGTGGGAGAAGTGAACTCACCATTTATTGATAAAAATGGAATCCTGCTAATCCTACCTATTACTGGTTATCATAATACTAGGATCACAGAATTCTTTCATTTGCAGTAACATGAGGGATGGGCAACTGGGGCACCAGCCCTGACACTCACTCAGCAGGGGACACAAAAAAGGCAGCCACTGCTGCTGTCAGCCTTGCCCCAGCTGCAGCTGGCCCAGCCCCTGCCACCCAGGGCACAGAGTCTAGTAGTTATGTCTCTGTTGGGTCAGAGGTAATTTCTCCTGATTTTACTGCCAGATGAGAATCTGTTACCATGAAGTATATCATTACAGTAAGATTGTTTGTCCAAAGTATTAAAGGGTCCTGGAGAAAATTAAGTTTTAATCCCAGGATCCAGCCTGCATGATTTTTTATAGTGTGAGGCTTCAGGTTAAGTGCCCCAAAACTCCCAGGAGAGGGAGCACTGTGCAACATGAATAGAACTGCTGCTCACATCTACCTAGGGCAGTAAATTTGTCCATTCCCTCAGTGCTAATTTCTCAATATGAAGGATGTTTCTTCCTAAAAAAGGCAGCAGAGGGCAGCAGAGTCTTCTTTGTCAGGGCATTTTTGTTACAAATTTTACAGAGGGGCGGGCAATTATTTCAGGCGGAGGGCCGCTTACTGAGTTTCAGCAAGCCATTGAGGGTCGCATGACAGGCAGTCAGGGGCAGATATATATTAATTTTCTAAATTTTTTAGGGGCCCTGCGGGCTGTATAGAATGGCCTTGTGGGCTGCATCTGACTTGTGGGCCACATTTTGCCCACCCCTGCTTTACAGGCATGTCTATACCACTTCCCTAGTGTGTTTGGGATGCCTGCCAAAAAGCAGAGCCCACCTGCTCCCACCATAAATGAAGTGATGAAGCTACACTGAGGTCACCCTCCACTGCCACTCCCAAGTCTACCAAAGACAGAGAGTTCAAGAAGGCCAGTGGGGAAGGTAGAGCACCCCCCAGGCTAGCTAAGTCTCCTCGGGCATTTATACACGTACCTTTGCCTGCTCCAACACGTCGGAAATCCAGCACGTCGGAGCAGACATTGCATGCATTTGTATAATGGCAAAATGCTCATCAAGGTTGAGAAAATGGTAGCCATCCCCTTTTGAACTAAAACACCTTTGGTGTGTTTTAGTTTAAAAGCATGCTGCCGCCATTTTCTCAGCACTGATCCACATTTCGCCATTTATACAAATGCATGTGCCACAGCACCGGGTGCTTTTAAAAGTGCCCAGTGCTGCAACGCAAGCATGTGTACAAATACCCCGCACTTCTGTGTTTGATAGAGGTGGAATGGGAGAGTGTGTCCATGCCTCTCAGTGGTGGTCTCAAGAGCACCTCCAAAAAGGTATAGATATACTTTAAATTGGGCACTAGCTTACTACGAAAACCTATTTTTAGGTCTCTGTACCAGTCAGTGTTACTTTTTACTGTTCTGGAATAAGTGAGTGATTGAAACAAAGCTAGGGATTGTGGGATTGAAACAAAGCATGGGATTGTGATCTGATTTAAGGTTCTTGCTTTCATCCAAGGTTGGATTACTGTGTCCTGTTGATACACCTCTAAGACACTGAGGAATCTTGATCAAGAAAAGGAAAATAAACAGTTGCTGTATATTATTCACACCATCTTCGCAATCAAATTTGACCCTTCAGGTTACTAATTTTTTTGTTTTGTTTTGGTTCCCCCCACAGGATAAAATTACCCATTACAGTGGAAGAGATAGCAAATTTTGGAGAAGACAATAGAGAGCTGTTCATTAAGTCTAGCACCTACAGCATCATTCCCATCACCGTTAAAGAGACTGGCCTGACAATAAGCTGGCTGTTTTCTTCAGACCCAAAAAGCATCTCATTCAGTGTCATTTACCAAGAATCAGAAGAGGCAACATTGGATCAGTGCAAAGTAAGGCAATTATTTGATGATGAGTTTTTTACCCCTCTCCGAGATAACTGTGGAATTGTGCTGTGAGACTGATTGGCTGACTACAGCTTTTAACGGCTTCAGAAAGTGGTATGTGTTGTTACATCACTGTAGTAGCCTGTATAAAAGTCTCAGGCTGTCTCATCAAGAGAAGCTTTCCTTGTCCAAAGTCTTATTATACTGCTCCTGTAAAGGTACCCTTTAATTACTTAATGTTGCCCAGCAAGACATGTTCTCTTGATCTCTGAGAAGAGAAACAGAAGAAATAGGTTGTCATTGCACTGAATGGCATTATACATCCTAATGTTAGTATTTAAAATAAGTACATTGTCACTAAGATGAAGAATTAGTTCCATTAGGTCAAACTTTCAGTTCTCTTTTGGGTTTATCTCATTTTTTCCTTAATATCTATCTCTTAATAGATGTACTTGTAAATAACATAGGCCTTGAATCCTGCAAGGCCTGGAACAAAAGGCAATGATTTGTAAAACTGATTAGTTGATGGCACTATTCACACCCTAAATATTAGGGTGAACCGGAGCCAGAAGGCCCAACTTCTTGTAGGAACAAGCCCAGAGACCCACACTGCAATCCTTATTCACAGTGCTCACTTTTACATTATGAATGAGGGTGTATGTTTAACTAGCCCATGTTAAAAGTTCAGTGACGACAAGGCAGTTGTAGTTTTTACCCATGTTAGGAGAAAGCCCAAGTCTGTGTCTTCACTGTGAAAAATAGGTGTCTTGTTATAATGAGAGTTAACTCACATTAGCTGTCACAGTGTAAAATCCTCGCAGCGACAAGCCATAGTAATTCTTGACCTTGGTGCATCTAATTAAGATTAACTTTACTTGATGGGGCATGGGGTTAAGTTTGACTAGCTACATGAAATGAAACCTTAACTGTGCCTTGTCTTGTGTAGGATTTCACATGGTTATGACAAGATTATTGTCTCATTGTAAAAACACTGCTTAAATATCTATATGAAAACATGCCGAAGTCCCATGGAAGTTCCACCAGTTAAGCATGTGCTTATAGGCTAGATTTCTTAATGCCTGTAGGTTTGCTTAAGCCCCATTAAGTTGGTCACCTTAAACTTTTAGGCTAAGTACAGACAGTCAAAAAGCCCCAGGCTGAATCGGTTCAGTCTTTGCATGTTTCTCTAAACTGCGTAGATTAAACTGATAAGCAAGTGAACAGGCATTCATTTTTGATTTGGGAAATGCAGCCACATGCCTGCTGTGGCCCAGACCAGAAGCTAGGGGATGCTAGAACACAACTCCCTGCTCAGCTGGACCAGAGAGTTTGGGCCAGAGCTAGTCCATCCACCCTGCAAGGGGCAAGGGTAGCAGGGGAGGTGCGAAGCATGCTGGGATGCTGGAGGACTTGAATCTGGAGGTGATCTGGGACAGAAGTTCAATAAACTGATTTATCTTAAATCAGTTAAGTCTGATTTTACATCCATCCAGGTTTATCTTAAACCAGTTTGGGCATTTTGAAAGTGATTTATATACACTGAATTTCTGTTATGTCATAGTTTTGAACCATTTTCCAGTCACTTATACCAGTTTTTGTGTAATTTCTGTCCCTAGCCTTAAACATCTGGCCCAGATTGCTGTGCTGAATTGCATCTAGCCCAGATTGCTGTGCCTGTTTGCCTGCAGGTGCTGACACTATCAATTGTGAAACAAGAAAACTACAGGTTTAAGCTGTGAGAATGGTAAATGGAGCATCTTAGCAGTTTCCTGCTTAGAAGGTGGGGTAGATTTGCACCTCATAGGCTAACCATATAGAGACAGATATATTCTGTATGTTGCAAATCTACCCAGCCTTCTATGTGACTGCAAACTAACATGGCTAACTATGTCTCTCAGTTTCCTGCTTAGACAATGAAAGGTCTCATGGGGCTTGATTAAAATAGGATGATAACGAGTTTGAGACAGAAGGCTTCCTGTGGTATTACCTGTACAAATATGTTCCCTTTTCAGCAACATGGTGACTGCCAGCAAAAGGCTCAGAAATACAAACTGACTTTAAACAAAAGCTTTCAGTTGAACTAAGTTTTCCTGGTTTTCTATGCACCAGCAACAAAAGGGGCTAGTTTTCAATTAAATGAAGAAATATGACTGGAACATTCAACTGACACCACTTTTAAATGATAAGTTCTTTCGGATTTCAAGATAATTGAGACGTGGGATTAATTCAGTATATTGTCTATTCTTTGCTTCACAGTGTCCCTCTATTGACACAGATAAAATTGCTCTGGGTTTGTACCAATGTAAGTGAGATGACAATTTAGTCCTATCTTTCTTCATTTGAATTTATGACTGAAGTTAAAGTGGAAAATGCCTAATCCATTTTAGCACCTATTTGTGGGAAAAGTTAATCACAATCAAGGCAAACATATTTGTCCATAGGTGCATGCATACACACACACATACTCTCTCTCTCTTGCTCGCTCGCTCACTTCTAGGGCGGTGTAAGTCTAGACAACTTTTCCTGCAGGCAAAATATATATTGCAAAGTTTGTTTGGGTTTTTTTCCAACTCCAGGTTCTTATTCCTCTGACTCGCTGTAACTCTCATAAGGAAACAATCAGAGGGCAAGTGAAAGTCAGAAATGCTGGTGTCTACATGCTGATATTTGACAATACGTTCTCTAGGTAGGTGCATTTGGAGTATAAAGGTTGAAATATACAAGGCTTTGTGGCTTGTAGAATTGGTTAGACTTCCTATTATTTTACCATTTAGCAATTGTCAAAAATCGGTTGAGGTGGCCTCAATTTAATTTTTTATGAATGCAGCTTTTCCATATTTCTATAACATCATTCCATGCTTCAGTCTTCTTGACCTCTGAGAAGAGAAACCAAAGAGACAGTCACTCGTGACTGCTTTCAAGCCAGTACAGAGTCAGAATCATCTTCTTGTAGGAGCTGAACCTATTGGATCTAATCTAGCTTGCCTACCTTGGGCAAAACCAGTGGAAATTTTGCCTGAATAAGGACAGTTGAATTTGACCCCTTATTGTGTGTGGGATGTACCTGTGTTTCACTAACCTGATCTTGTTCTGCTTTTGTTTGTACAGGTTCATCTCAAAAAGAGTCTTTTATCACTTGACTGTTGAACGACCTGTGATCTATGATGGAAGTGATTTTCCATAGCCTTGAGTATATGGTGTTATTTTTAAGCATATTTTTAAGAAACACTATTATTTATATATATGTGTGTATGTGTGTGAGTGTGTGCGTGCATGTGTGTGTAAGCACTAAAAATACCACTGTGTTTGAATACCCTTTAAAACTATGCAATAGTTAAAAAAAAAAAAAAAAAAAAAAGCACTTACTGTATGTTTACACCTAAGAAACAGATACCATTCATATGAACATTAATGGTTCTGTACTGTGTACAGATTGCTCAAAAAAGCATGTTGTTTAGTAGGGTTGGTCAGAAATTTTCCACCATTTATTTTTATTAAAAAATTGGGTCTAAAAAAACAGATTTTACTAAACATTTTTGTCAGTAAACCAAATATTTTCGCTAAAATTAATTTTTTAATTGAAAAATGTAAAAATTGTTTTTCTTGACATTTAGAACAGGACATAAAAATAACCACTTCTAACCAGCCGTATTTTCTTATGAAAACAACAACTATGCAATAGTCCAGTCATTAAAGACGTATCATAATCTTTATAAAATTATTACCTTTTTGCAAAACTTATAAACAGCAAAGATAGCTTTTATATAACCAGTTTAGGCTTAAAATATCTTACTGGCTGTTTTAAAAAATGCCAGTTACACAAATATGCTGCAACAGCTATATAATTCTGAATTACTTCTGCCACTTTGGCCTTCTGTACCCTGTAAAGAGTGAAAGTTCTTGCAGAGGAAGGTACTTCTGAAGGTGAGTAACATTGGCAGAATAAGGACCTCCAGTGCATGACACTAAAGAAGAGAAAATGGGCATGGTTCTTCTTCCTTTTCCTTTTTTCCTGTTTTGGCACCTTAAACTGCAGCATTCACAAGAAAACAAAAATACTTTAAGATGGAAAATGACAAAAACAGTTCCTTTCTGTACACTGAGTGGAAGGTAGCGTGTAATGGACCTGATAACACTTGACTCAATCTAAAGAAACCCACCCAGGCTCGAATATATCAAAACACAGTGGACACATCTACATGTGATGCTTAATGCGCAATAGGCTAATTCTACTGCACATTAGCGCTTCATGGCAAAAACTGTGCTAATGCACTAATGCTCAGTAGAATTATTAGTCTACTATGCATTAAGCACCACAAGAAACCATGCCCCGTTTGCTACTGCACTTTAGCCCTAGCTACTGCGCATTTATGTAGTACCTCATACTAGAGGTACTAAACTTAATGCACAGTAACAGCAGTGCATTAATGCAAGTGTAGACGTGCCCAATGAAACCTTCATCCTTCTCTTTTCTCCTATCTCTCTCACTCTTAGCAGCTCCGTTACATCATTTTTCTTTCTTCTTTTTCATCTTTCCCCTATTTCTGCTTCTTCAAGTCACATTCAGCCTGAGCCTCTCCTCCTTTACTCAGTGATTTCCTTTCCATTTCCAGGTTAAATCAGGTGACACCCATTCCCATTCCGCACTGTCCACCTGACCTTCCTACTTCTTTTCTGCCATTTCCTCACCCCATTTTCATCTCAATTCCCAGCTGTAGTGTTCAGTCGCTGCTAGGCCCAGCATCGCTGCCATATGAAAATATGCATTTCTCAGTAGGGTTGACCAAAAAAATTGCTGCCAGAGCTGTTTTCGAAGGATTTTTTTTCAACAAAACAAAATATCTGCAAAGTTTCTGCTCTCTATGGACAATATCAATATTTTGACAAAACATTTGCAATTAAAAAGATTTCATTTTTTGACAGAAAGTCAGCTGGGGGCGGGGAGGAAGGGGAGAGCCCTATTTTCAAGTCCAGACTGAGGCAGCTGGTTATCTATAGGGGACTTTAAGGATGGAGAGTGGGGAGACAAAAAAAGCATTGAGTGAGGCTGGGGGCAGAGGATTCTTCATCAGAGTTCAGTTCAGGCTGAGATGATGTTCACATTGTTATTTATACTTTTCTAGCTGAGTTTCTCACCCCTAAGAGGCCCCATGTATTGTGATAGACTTGGTACAGACTGTTGTAGGTGATTGCAAAAAAGCTGCTATTCATTTAGACAACAATTTGAGCACCTGACATTTTGTAGGAACTAATGATCATTTGAAAGAAGAAGAGTTAATTGTCTGAGATAAAGCAGAAGACCATTAATCACAAGTGCCCAGGTCATTACTGGTGTTATAAACTGCAAATTAAAAGGCAGAGAGGAAGCTGTGGACCTTTGCTTTAGGTGATTTAGTTTGTAATTGGTGAATATAGGGCATTTTTATACAGTGAAAGCTCTTTAGATAGCCTTTTATGCAAATATAAATCTTATTGATTTCAACAGGTTTTGGATTGGGCCCGATATTAGTCAGTCACATTACCCGACTCGTATTGTAACATTCCATTCGGTTTATAATCTAGTTCTTCTTTATTGTTGTTACTGTCCATAAACTTCATGAGGAAGATGCATCAAAGGAGCTGAGAGGTCAAGAACAATTAAAATTAAACTCTTATTTTGCTGCAAATGTACTTAATATTTAAGAATTTCATCAGGGTGGAGAGGAGATTAAAGTGGATAGTGAATAAGCAATAAAAAATTGTACACATTATTTTTCTAGAATATTATTTTAGTGTTGGAGTTATAGTTTGTATTTAATTAGGAAATAAGGATTTATTTAATGGAATACCATATGCCATTCGCTATGTAGTATAATGGAACTGAAGTCCACAGCAGTTTTTCTTAAGCTTTTAGGTGTGATTTTTAAAATAATTTTGTTACTGTTTTCGTTAGGATACTAATTTGACTAGGATAATTTTTGTAAAATGCCAAATGTAATTTGAAGGAACACTGTCAAATATATTAGCCTTAGCTATACCCATTACCACTATAAATATTATGATAGAGAGTGGCATCTAGACATTGTTTCTGTCTCTCTTTTTTCTCAAACCTTTCACTCTGTCCCAAAGAATAGTTTTGAAAAGCTACTGTTTGTGTAGCTCCTAGGATAAATTGTTCTCTGCTGCACACACAGTATTTCCAACAATATTTCTGACCCTTAATGGTCATGAGTTTAGCTTTAAAAATTGTGAGTGTTTTTTTTTTTTAAATGATAAATACTGGGGGCTTTAGAATGCACTTGCTTCCCATTTTCAAGTTTTTCTCTGTAATCATAAGGGCGAAACCCTCCATTTTTGGAAAATGAAAGCTGAGCATTCTCTTGCAAATACCCTCATCCTGAGAGCTTGGGTTTTAAAAAAAATCATTAAAAATCGCAAGAATAGGCAATTTTGAAAAACAGCCATTCAGGATCAAGATTGCAAATCTATGAAGAAAGCCCAGTCTTCAGAACTGTGTAGATGTCACTTAGACAAATAAGATAATATCTGGCAATGTAGCAACAAATGTACTATATTAGGAGGCCACAATAAAAAAGAAGAAAAAATATAGTTTCCCAGAGTCTCAGCTTTATTAGAGCTCTGCAGTGTCTAAGGCTGTTATAGTTTAGAGCAGTGGTTCTCAACCTTTCAAGACCAAAAGGCCCCCTCATTAGCTGCAAGGTGCCCCTCAGAAAATGTGAGCTTTTTAATTTTCACTTTTTTTGGAGTAGAGAAAGATAACAAAGCAATTCTTCGGTTGTAAAGAAGTCAGAAAGACTAGGAAAGATAAGAATCTTTTCAACACTACAAATTCCAGTTTGAAATCTCTGGATTTATTTTGTAAATCATGTTTGCACCCATGTTTGCACCCTGATTGAGAATCTTGGGTTTAGAGAAACATCTTTCAGAGGTGGCTGTGTGCTCTATTTCAGTTGGAGGTTTGTATAGGAGGAAGTGACAGCTGTATGTCAGCTACCTGGGGAATCCCCACCTGCTCCAGTTGCCTTTCTGCTTTCTGAAATAGGGCAGAGAAGCAAAAAAAAAAAAAAGATGGCAAGGGCAGGAAGAGTATTTTCAAGTCAGGAAGAGGTTCTAACAAATAGTTTGTTTAAAGGATAATGAGCTGGCCTTCCTTGATTTGTATGGAGCGCTGGAAAGACAATGAAAATCCAGCCACCTTATCTGAAAGCATAACATTTTGCCATGTATCTGCCCATTAGGAGTACAGTCTCAGCCTCACTGGTTTTCCATTAATGAATGGGCCCAAAGCAGTCCCTAATGGAAAATACCACACAAAAGAAAGAGTTATTCAAGGGGCTTAGATCAGTCTCCATGGGCCAGATGCGGGGACTGAAGCTGGCCTGCGGGCCATACTGGGCACCTGCAGCAGAATTGAATTCCATATTATCTCTGTCCAGCTTGGCCTCCAATGGTCTCTGATGCCAAAACTGGGCCCCACGGCTCTGTGCTACCTCAGCCCAGCATTCATAAACCAGGATTTGGACCTGGGGCTGCACACTGCCTCTGCCCAGCCCTGCTCACTGGGATTGGGCTCTGGGGCTCTGTGCTGCCCCTCCACACTGGTATCATGGCCCATGCCACCCTGAATGCCCATTCCAGTGCACAGGGCCATGCTGTCTGACCCCACAGGTCCAGAAATGTGATAGCAGGGGAGTGGTACCACTGGATCTGCCTCACGTGCTGAGGGTTGAACACCTGTACCTTAGACAACGCCCCCCCCCGGTTCAACAAAGGACTATTGCACAGGAAGAGTCGCATTGAAGTCAGTCAGGCTACTCATACTTAGATATGTGCTCAAAAGCTTTAAATCAGTTCTTTTATGAACTCAAAATCCCCTGTAATAGATATAAGAAAAAAGACTCATTTTAATCCAGGGTGAAACTAAATGAAAAGGGTACAGTCTAGTGCTTTTGTAGTCAAGAAACTTTTGTATCCAAGAAAGTACACATAACAGGCAACATAAGTGATTGGGATATCAAGGTGGGGTATCAGGGTGATGTGCTACATGATTCTTTCCTCCCTGAGTTCACCCTTTTTTTTAGGCATAGAATAAAACTTAATTGCTTTTTTTTTCAAAATTTGGCAGTGTTCCTTTACATTTCTCTAAACATTATTGCAAATTGGTTCATGAAAATGTCTCACGTGGAAGAGTTTGCAGATTTAAACTATGGTAAATGTGTAAAGATACTATGCACAGCTGCTGCTTTGTGTTTCAAAACTGAACTTGCACTACAGCTCTAACAATCCTCAATTGTAGCTTGTTCAGAACCATCCTTTGCTCGTGACTGCCAAAGAATTGCACAGTGAATTTGCACCAAACTTCAATTTATCTTTCGCAGGAAAA